TCTTGCACTCAAATCCTTGCCTCAGGGTCTACTCTTGAGGCAACCCAAATTAAGACAGGGCTTCTAAGGGTTGTTTTGTTCTATTGTGAGTGGATATTTTGAATCTTATGAAGACAGGCAGCCATGTTTAAATTGTCTTAGGAGTTAATTCTTGGTCTAGTAGTGGTTTAACTTATATTTACCTCAGCCTCTCCATGACTTATATGGAAATGTTGAGACCTGTTACCTGCTATATCCTGGACTCTTAGTAGATATCAAAGAAATAATGTACCAAACTTTCTCCTAAGAGCAAACTGTTCTTATTTCACAGGGGTTTACCTTGTGAGGCCCACTAGGGCAAAGGAGAATTAGAGAACAAGGTACTTGAGTACAGTATTATTTTCCTTTCCCTGAATCTTACTATTTTGAAGGAAGCGCTTATTGCTCCTATTGAGAAGAGAGTACTTCCTGTACTCATGCCGGTTTTTGTTGGGCTTTGCTGGACAAGAGCGAATAGGTGAGCCTAGGAGCCGTCCTTAGCTCCTTAGAGGGCATTTTCATTTTGCTGTTCAGCAAAAGTTTATTGAACCTTTATGGGATCTGAGCCCCAGGCCAAACAATGTGGAATAGACAGAAACACATAAAATGGATAAAAGGCATAGTTCCATGTAAGGGTTCATGGATCTGGGAAAAACAGTTGAAATATCTCTTTTCCTTTGGCTCATTTGGGTAGTAATACATTGCATCTTGGGGAACAATCAGAAAATCAAGTTGACTTTAGTAAGTCTGCTTGATTTTAAAAATATAATCCAGGGTGGGGGATGGGGAATGGCCTGTCTATGGAGACAAATGGTTACCAATCTCAAAATAGCTTTTGCTTTATTTTTACTCAGCCAACAAACATTCTCTTTTGGAGTCTTAACCTAATTTCCCAGAGTTGCCTGGCCTATCTTTCTCCTCTAATTTTAATGTTCTACTCAAGTCTTTAAGGTCTCAGCTGGTTAATGTTTAATGCTCTCCACGACCAGTGTTTGATGTTTACACTTTATTGGACTAACCAAATTTGTAGAGCAAATTAAAAGTGTGCAGGTCTTTGACAAGCCACGTTTAGATATGTGTTGCTCAGAAACCATCTTCTTGTTCAATACTGCATGCCCCAAATAGTTTCAATTAACTATTTTCCTTTCCTGGCAATATCCTCAGCTCTCTGCATTGCTTTTGAGGAGCTATTACTTCCTAGATTTACAAATGTCACAGTCGCATACACTTCTCCTTCCAGAAAGCCTGTCACAATAGAGAGCTCCGCTTCTCTGTGAAGTGAGAGTGTCAGCAACAGGTAACCTATTAAACCAGATTGACCAAAAACCACAAAAAATTTCACTGGGGAGGGAACAAGAGAAACTGGGAGAGGAGGGTTTGTGTGGGGGAAGGAGGGAGAAAGAATTGAAGAGTTGGTATTTTTGTTTAAAAAAAATACACATTCTAAGAAAACATATGGGTGTAATAACACACAGATTAGGTAAAGACCCATTACTATAATTACCTGAAGAAATATATTATTTCTCTTACTCATGGGTTTAATTTCAGTCTCTATTTTGAACAAACTGAAATGGTGGTGTGATATCACACAACAGACACGGTCGGGGAAGCCAAAGCTTGGGTTCCACGTCCAGCTGGGTCAGGCCTCCCGGTGTGACGCTGCCTGTGCCCTGTCCTTAACCTTGCTGGGCATCAGCCATGAAAGAAGAGAGTTGGCTGTGATCTCTCAGTGTCTTCCAGTTCAGGCATTTTGGGATTCGATCCTATCTTTAGCCCCACTCATAATATTTCTGGGGAGTGGAAGGTGGGATTTACAATAATCTTCTTAAAGGAAGAAAGTTTCACAAATAATTGCCCCCTAGACTACGACTTAACCTAGTTTTCCTCAGAGTGCCTTGATTGTGGCTGGCTGTTAGCAATTTTTTCTCCATCTTTCCAAACCAATATTCTCTTTCAGCTTTGCTGAGAGATACTGGTTTTGACACAGGGGGAGAAGATATTAAGGAGGCTTTGGGATTAAATCAGCAGATGAAAAGGAGGAATCCCCAAACTACGGGGTCATTGATGGACTTGGGGGCTCAGGTTTCCTGGGGGGTCAGATTTCCTCTCTCTTCTCAAGGCTCCCAGCGTCAGGCCAGGCCCGGAGTGATAGCTGCTTTCTTGACACATCCACGGTGGCTGAACGCTAATGTGTTTAACAGTTGGACTTATTTTTAATCTACTGTATTAGGAGCACACATTTAATCAAGAACAAAATGTTACCAATGTTGTTTTTTTTGTCCCTGCATACGCATATATCCTTAACACTGTTTTGCATTCCCTTGTGCTAGAAAGCTCTCCATGTGACATCTGACTTATTTCATAACATTAGTTTTTTTTTAAGTGCAAATATATGTGGAGAAAGAAGAGAAACAAGGAGCTGAATTTCCATTCTTTGCAGCCCCCCTGCTTCAAGAAAAAACTGCTGTACACATTTTAACAATTAACATTCCTGTAGTGGATGTCGTTATGGATGGAGCTAATAAATGTTTTCAAACACTCCTCGTCTCAAATACACGTTCAGCTTATTTTCTGTCATTTGATGGCATGGGTGGGTTGAGACATTCCTCTAAGCGTTTTTTTTTCCCCTCCTGGTTAAAGAAAGAGATCTTATCTTCCTACCCACCCTAACTCACCTCCTTCCTTTGCCCTCCCCACCCGCCCGTGCCTACTTTACTGAAACCTGACTTGCAGGTCAGCCGGCTGGTAACAGATTAATTTTACTCTGTGAGGAACACCAAACATTTTGGCCAGGAAACATGAGAACCCTGTTATAATATTACCGTTTTTCTAAATTAAATATTAGGAAAAATTAAACCAAATTGTGGCGCATAGTGCAATGGAAAATATTTCTCTTCCAAACACTCGTCTGTGATAAATGCCTGTGTAAGTGAAAGCACAATAAATATGCACTACGTTAAAAACCTAGATTATTCAGGTTTTAAGACTTATAGCTAAAAGTGGTTTAATGTTTCATGCCTAATAATAGATTACTCCTATCACATTTCTAACCTTTATTTCTCCTAGCTTTGAAGTCCAGCCATATAAAGGTTGTTTGTAGAACCACACGAAAGTTAAAGCAAATATTACTTAGAATGATTCATACCAGCAAGAATTTGCAATGAAGGCCGAGGCTTTCTTTTTTTTTCTGGTGTGTGTGTGTGTGTCTGAATCAAAGGAAATGAAATGTTTGTAATATTTTTTGGTTGATAAATTTATTAAAACATTTTAGAGGCTTGTAGTAGAGGCACGGCTGACATAAACAGACTGACTGGAAACAGATTACATTCTGCTCTGTGGGGGAGGCAGAATTTAAAGGGGGAAAAATTCCCTGGATTTCAAAAATTGCCACCAGGTCACAGCAATACTTAATTAACTGAATACATTAACGGAAGGCTATAACATAGATGCTAAAAAAGGCGGGGGGAGCAGTCAAGTTCATTTAATCCTCTGTTCTTTGCTTACAGATTAGCCTTTCAGAATGAGCAACCTGATTTTTTTTTTTTAAAGGATCCATTTACCTTCCAGAGCTTTTCATAGCAAAACATTTTGCATGGTTGCAAAAGAAATTAATTTGTTGCCAGTTGCTCCATACTGGCAGGAATTCTGAATAAAGAATGTAAGCAATCTATCTTTGTTTGCAAGATATAATTAATCTGGCAGTTAAAATTCTTTGGAAACATTCTGATGACTTATGTGGAAAAGTAGCGCAGCATTTTCAAAGAAAACTCAGAACTGTATGCAGGGGAAGATAAAAGATATATGAAGTGTTTGTTCTAAGCGATACTATTCATTTAAAGATCATAATGTAACCCCACCCTAGCAATTATTGTGAAAAACAAGACAAATCGCCATCTATAGCTTTCTGACACAGTCTTGATTTGAGAAAGAAAATAAGCACATTACTGTTACAGTCTAATAGACTGCAAGCTGTTTTATTAGAGTCAGCTGAATCCTGTTTTGCATAAAAAAGAACTGTTTGCTATCAAGAACACATTTACATTAATATGACTTTGACAAAGTAAAATAAAATCGCATTAAGATGATGTAAGTAGATAAGACAATGAAATCTCTGTGAGAGAGTTTTGGCATACGCTAATTACAGTCAAGTCCCTGCAGGAAAAGAACATATTTTTACACCAACTATCCATGTGTTTGAAAATGTAGAGAGCCCAAAATGCAATCCTTGGTTTAGGTATTTCCTGAATACATTGTGTTTCCGAGGTAGTTTTTTTTTGTTTTTAAAGGAGCCTGCCTGATAAATAACACTTTCCTTTACTATAAGACAAGCAAGTTTCTTTCTGAATACTAGCCTGTAATCATCCTGATTATTTTAAGGGACTTTCCAATATAGGGCAGCTGAAAACAAGGTTTTAAATTACATGGTAATTTAGGAATGCATGAAAAGCTAAGCAGTTACCATAATAGGGTTCTGGATAAACTTCATGGTTTTTAGAGCAAAACATAACAACATATGTTTTGTGATTTGTTTCAATGATTTTTCTATATTTTTTTGGTTCAGGTTCTATCAAAATATTTGGAGGCCTCATCTGCGTTCAGCGTTTTTATAACCTTATTTTGAAAACTTTGATGTCTCTCTTTTTAGTTCAGTCATTAAAAGAAAGGCAATGATGGATGATGATAATGCTGCGGATTTTATGACTAATCGGTTCTTGGCAGCGGCCATATTTCTTCCGTAGTGAAACTTTAATATTCCTTTGGCCTTGTAAAGGCTTAAAAATAATTTTTTTTTGGAACTGTGCTACAACAGCTATTATTAAGTATTACCAAACAGTTCTTGCACAAAAGTTAGCACTCTGATTTAACACCTGACAAATGAAGCATTCAGGAAAGTGGATTTCTCCTCCTTTCTAGCTACTCACAGATTTTGGATGCCTTGTAACCATGTTTTTCTCTATGTTTTAAAGGCAAGAAAATGGAGAAACACTACACAGACGGTAGACAATTTGAGAGGGAAGAAAGTCTCACGGGGTGAGATGAGCTACCATTTGCATGTCCTCTTCTCGAATTGTCTTTGTGACATGCAGTTTTATGAGGAGCCCGACTTTCTGCCTGGAGTCTTTGATGTATTGTTCTTGAAGTTGCAACAACAAACACCAGGTGTCTCCACTTAGCTGAGCTAAAGGTCCTGCAGAGGAAGGCCCCTGCACCAGGAAAAAGTTGAAACGGCCTTCCCTTTCCCCAGCGCTTTTGGCTGCTGCCTGGATAAGCCCGGAAGGGCTGGTTGGGGCCAGGGGAGGGGAGATCATTCTTTGATGAGCATTCAGGTTGGAGCCTGTTGACTCATATCGGATCTGGAAGGGAACCTGATTTTTGAGTGGAAGTCATGAAGACTGGGGCCCCTGGCAACACTGGTGTGCTGGGGATGGAGTCTAGTGAACCAGGCGGCAGTGGCTGGGATTACATTCTTGGTCTACTCTGACAGGGACTCGCCATCTTGGAAGGTAAGAGGCCAGTACTGGGTAGATGGGTGCTGCCTTCTTGTGGGAGTGCCAGCTCCATAGGGACCTCTGCTTGGGCACAACCAGACTCAAGTCCCGGCAGCTGATGTGTTGGCTTTTTCTCTTCCATTGGCTGATGCTTCAAATTCCAAGTTGTGATTCCCATTAAAATTTATTCATTTCGTCAACAAATCATCATTTAATCTCTACTGTGCGCCAGGTACTGTCCTAGCAGTAAAGAAACCAGACAAAACCTGCTCTCTCATAGAGCTTGCACTGAAATATGACCCTTCCTTTGAAGCTAAGGATAACAACTGAGGCCAGTGTTTCCCAAAATGTGTTTCGTGGCACTTCAAGGATGGTGATAGGTATTCTACTGAGAAAAGATTTCATATTTCATTACACTCTGGAACTGCTGGATGAGCTGGTCCAGATGCAGGACTTAGTAGCCTCTATGTGTTAATTTGCATTGTCCCTTCCCAAGAGATGTCCTATTTGTTTATCAAATGCATTTGGCCAAGGAGTCTTTTTTTCTTCCAAACCTAGAAATTACCCCAGATACAAGTGAATATTTTGAGGAATATAGATTTTTTTGAGTGGTGGACACTCAGAATCTTTCTCCCTCCTGCAATAGACTTGAGGTTAGATTTGGAATATGGAAGTAGGCAAAAAAGACAGGGCTCAGAGGCCACCTGTCTGAGGAGGGAGATGTTTGCCCCAGAGAATGTGACTGTAGAAGCAGCACTGATCTCATTGTAGAGGAAAGCTCTGTTCCCCATCAAGCTCTGAGTAACCTTCCGATGACCACATGGCACATGGGAAAGCTAAGAGATATGGGTTCTAGTCCCAGCTCTGCCTCTAACTAGCTGTGCAATCTTGGGTAATTTGCTTACCCTTTTTGATCTTAATTCCTCATTCCTACTAATCAGCATTGAATATGTATTAAGTCATTTACTCATCAAAACAGCTTTATGAGGTAGGTCATGCTATTGCCTCTATTTTATAGATAAGGAATCTGAGTAACAAATAGATTAAGAAACTTGCCCAAGGTCACACAGCTAGAAAGTGATTGTGCCAAGAATATTAAATGACAATCTTGGACCAGATGGTCCCTTCTTTAAGATCTAATATTCTATGATTTTATGAGAATGACTTTTGCTATGTCTCATATCTATTGTTATCGGACAGTTAATCCTCTAAGCAAAAATAATTCATCAGTTAGCAAATTTATTGAGCATGTACTCTGTGCCAGAACTAGCCAAGGCCCTGGAGAATCCACAAAGAACAAGACAAAGTCCCTGCCCTCAGGACCTTACAGTCTAGGGGTATGGGGTTGGGGACAAGTAAGAGGCAGTCTATCCATGTAACAAAAATATTATCACTAACATTTCTATAGTGAATCAAATTATTAAAATATTATGGCATACTGTTCATAAAAATCAAAATGTAGAAACAACCCAAATGTCTATCAACTGCTGAATGAAATAAATAAAATGTGGTATATCCACACAATGGAATATTATTTAGCCGTAAAGAGGAATGAAGTACTGATGTATGCTACAACATGGATGAACCCCCAAAATATCATGCTGAGTGAAAGAAGCCAGACACAAAGGCCACATATGGTATGGTTCCATTTATATTAAGTGTCCTGAATAGGCAAATCCATAGAGACAGAGAGAAGATTAGTGCTCGCCAGGGCCTAAGGGAAGTGGGGAATGGAGAGTGACTACTTAATCGGTACAGGGTTTCTTTTTGGAGTGATGAAATGTTCTGTGATGGTTGCACAACATTGTAAATGGACTAAATGTTACTAATGGTAAGTTTTGTGCTATGTGCATTTTGCCACAATAAAAAAAGCAATGATAGATAAGGCGAAGCTTATTATTCCCATTTCAAGTTCATAAATCCCTAATCATCACCTGCATCATGAAACACTTGGCTCAGCAGTGTTGTGGATATAAAGGTGAATAAGACATAATCCCTGTCCTAACAGATTTTACGATCTACTTATTGGAATTATAGAAGATCAACAATGAATTACAATAAAGCATAATTAAATCGGCATTATAATGGCAGAACAGGGAAAATGATGAGGAATATTTGGGAGAAAGAAACCATTCATCACCAAGGCTCTGAAGACATCATCAACGTAAGCGGCAGCCACAAAACCCAACAGGCCTTCTGCATCGTGATGGTGGCATAACATAGGGGTTGATGCAGAGTCACACAGCAGTCATAGGCCGTGAGACCCGAAGGGAGTAGTCAATTGAAACAAAGAAGGTAAAGAGAAAGAACCGAGCACACAGCATGTGTAGGATAAAGCTGCCTGGTGTTCTGACAACATGGCCATCATCTGGGGCACAGTGACAGATGTGGCAGATGTCCATGAAAGACAGGTGACTCAGGGAAAAAAAAGAAACAGTTCATTTTCAACTGAGGTTATTGGAAAATCCTTATGGAGGAACTGGTGGTTCATGTGTCCTGAAAGTTGAATAGAAATGCAGTAGATGGAGAAGAGGAAACCAACAGACAGAGAGGATAAATAACTCGCTGAATGTCACACAGCAGCGACAGAGCAGAAAGTGAATCCTAGGCTCCTTATCCTCGTTGAATATACATTCGATCCTCCTTTTTCATGGATTCCATATTCGCAAATTTGCCTACTCACTAAAATTTATTTGCAACTCCAAACCAATACTTTGGGCATTTTTACAGTCATTCGTGGACCTGAGCAAAGTGGTGAAAAATTTGAGTTGTGAGACAGGCACATTCCCAGCTCAGGTCAAACAAGGAGATGCTCTGCCTTCTTCTTTCCTCTCTTAAACTATAAACAAGTCTCTTTCACAGTGTGTTTAGTGCCATGTTTTCACATTTTTGTGCTTTTTGTTGGTGATTTCACTATTTAAATTGTCCCCAAGCATAGTGTTGAGGTGCTGATTGGTGATCCTGTGTGCAAAAAGGCTGTGGCGTGCCTTGTGGAGAAAATGTGTGTTAGATAAGCTTTGTCCAGACTTGAGTTATAGTGCTGTTGACTGAATTCAATGCTAATGAATCCACATTATATATTAAATAAGGTGTCTTTAAACAGAAATACACATAAAAGCAGGTTGTATATTAATAAGTTGATGCAAATGCTGTGACAGAGGCTCATAGGAACCTAACGACTTATTTCCCCTAGGAACAATGGTTTAGTATTCACTAATTCAGTGTTCATGACAATTTTATTGGACATAACTACCACAAATGCCAAGAATCAACTGGACTTCTCGTTATTGTCTACTCCCAGATTTGAAATTGGGCCATTTCTTCTCTACTCATCACTCATCATCAACCCCTGCCCCCTGGCTAAACACAACATACACATGCACACACACTGTGTGTGCAGTGCAGGTGTGCACATATGCATGCATGTGCACACCTACATGAACACACTCATACAGGTGTGTGCACACATACATGTGCTTCTCCCTAGAGTTGGTTATTTTGTAGGATTCAGATCAAAATCAAAATGCTAGGCCCCTTGTTCAGTAATTATTAAGAATTTTAAGATGGCAAGAACAGAGCATTAAACCACACGCAGGGGCCTGTGCACGTATTGCACACTGATAAAGCTGACCCTCTTCTCTCTCCACCTGGTCAGTCATGTCCTCACTTCACTGCATGTGCTGCTTTTTCCTCTGGGACAAAGAAAATCTGATCACTGTTCATCCAACGTCACTTGAGATAAGAAGTTTACCAAGCCATTTGGACTTAGCCAATGTCCCTGGGGAAGAGGCTGATACACTCATAGACACACAGTCTGTGATGGCTCGGGAGCTGAAGGGCTGCTTTGGCCTTTGGCCTCCTGGAGTCAAGTGACTTGGAGGGGCTTCATTTTCTCACTGACAACCAGCCAGAGTCACGTGGGCTTGCATGTCAGAGCGAAACAGAGCTGCAGAGCTCCACTCTGCCTCTCGTGAGTCCCCTGGGCCACATTCCCTGCAAGAAGTCTCCTGAATAATTTGATAGGTCTCCATTTAGCCTCCTTGAAGTTCCTGGACAATGCTCTGGCCTTGGCAGCCTCTCGCAGGCGGCCTTCGTTCAAGGACTGCGGGCTTTCCAGATAGATGTCCAGATTCCAGGACAGAGGCAGGGGGAGGGCAGGCGCTAGAGTCCTGAAGTGGATTTGCTTGGCCCGGAACTTGCTCATTACAAAAGTTGTGGCTGAAGTCTTCAGCGAGGAAAGGAGGAGAGGGGAGGAGTAGACAGTCAAAAGCAACTCACTGAAGGCAGATCCCTGGAGTGCATTTTCTTATCAGGGCCTCCTCACCCCTGCTCTTCCTCTGACCCAGAAGGAGCGGGATGAAGTTGGAGAAAGTCTTGCAGACTTGTGAGGAAGCCGGCTGGGCTTCCTTTTGGAAGGGAAGACCCAGGCAAGTTTGCTGGCTTCACGAATTGCTCCCTTGGGCCGTTCACAGCTGTCTTCACCTCTCTCTTCTGTGTGGCCACACGTCACAGGGCCTTCAGAGCCGTGTTCTTCTGGAAAGCCTTCTGAGCCTTGGGCAGGTAGAAGGCTGCATTGGTTTGCTAGGGCTGCCCTAACAAACTACCACGGACTGCGTGGCTTAAACAATAGAAATTTATTGTCCTGTAATTCTGGAGGCCAGGAGTCCAAGATGAACGTGTCAGCGGATTTGGTTCCTTCTGAGGGGTGTGAGAGAAAATCTGTTCCATGCCTCTCTCCCAGCTTCTAGTGGTTTGCTGGCCATCGTTGGGGTCCCTGGCTTGTAGATGCAGCCCCCAGATCTACGCCTTGATGTTCACATGGTGTTCTCCCTGTGTCTCTGGTTCCAAATTCCCCCTTTTTATGAAAACACTTACATGGCCCCCCCGCTCCAGTATGACCTCCTCTTAACTAATTACATCCACAATGACCCTATTTCCAAAGAAGGTTATATTCTGAGGTATTGGGGGGTCCAGATTTCAGCATATGAATTTCAGGGGACTCAATTCAATCCAGA